CAACACAAAGAAAACGACTTCTGAATATACATCCTTCAGAGAACACTCTTATTACTATGTGTGATGCAATAATAGATTGTGATATTTCCCAAAAAAACTTGAACATCCATTCCAACCTAGATCTAAACTAAAATATATCTTTGCGTGTATTTCCTAATATGAGGGCATGCCGTTTCAATACCAGGCTTAAGTGTGTGAAGACACAAACCCTCCAATATTACCCAAAAAGTGTAAAAATAGTATCCCTAACATTACATATCTATACACGATAACAGAATATTAAATTATAAATAGTTATAAACAGGATGCCCTCAGATTAACACACTCGCCAGGCAGTTTATGGTACACCTACATAATTTGCACCTTTTGCAAATCTTCCCTGCCCAATTAGCTGAGGCCTGTGGCCCCGAAACGCTACCTAAATCTTTTGCGAAGAGGCGTTTAATCGACAAAAGGCGATCATAAAATTCAACTTCATTTTATTTGTATAGCGGCAACATTCATAACAGAATTTATCTCAGGAACAGCTCTGTGATCAAACTAGAGTCACGGTCTTACTGCCCTATGAAAACCCCTTTTAACCACAATATTTAACATTTTAACAACCCCATTTTCTCCTTAATAGATTTTAATAAATATTGGTAACGAATATAATTGAACACTTAACTTACCTACAAAAAATGACAATAAAACAGTAGTATATTCCACAACTCTCCCCACCTGTATATATCAAGCATGTGACCACATAAACTCCGGATGGTAGATTGCTTCCCCCGCAGGCCTGTAGCAGCTGACAATAAACTTATAAATGTGCTTTAACAGCATTCAATAGTAAAACTGTCGTAGCTGAAGAAGCTTCCCATGCTGCACGACAACAACAACAACACAACCATCAACAACCAAAAGCCCTGAAGAGAGCCGACAGCAGCACGTACCCCCAGACCAGCAACACTGACCCCAGACCAGCCAGCACTGACTCAGACCAGCAGCACTGCACTCCAGACCAGCACAAATGACTCCAGACCAGGCAGCACTGACTCCGACGCAGCCAGCACTGACTCCCAACCAGGCCGCACTGACATCCCAGACCAGGCAGGCACTGACTCCAGACCAGCCGGCCGCGTCTGTCCAACTGCGACTGTGCAGTGCGGTCTTCTTGTTCAAGTCGCACTCGGATGACGTCGCAGCGAGAGGAGGTGCGGGTCTGCCACGTCGGTCTCTGTGCAACGCATTTACACTGTTGCTCCTGAAAGCCCGGGGCTAACTTTTAAAGCCATTTTATGTTTCCAACCGGAGAGAAAGCGACCCTCCCGCATCGCCGGTGCCCTCGCAGCTCGTCGCCACAGCAGTGCAACCGGGTTTATTGAAGCTGGAAGGCGGAGAAATGCTCGCTGCTGTGGGAGACACACAACTGACTGATGCATCCTAGTTCAGTTCACCCTCCCGTATGTTGTCGATGTTGTGTAAGTAATTGTGGCTTTGCAGAGCTCTTTTTTTATTTTTTTTATTTTTTTTTGTTCAAAGTGTCTAGTTTTCATTGTGCAATACACCTGAGCGTACACCTTTGTGTTTCTAACGCCGTTGTTTAAAGTGTGCTTTGGGTTAAAGTTTCCGCGGTGGACAGACAGACAACGCTGCCTGATGTCATGGTTCAGACAGGCTGCTTTAGTGCATGTCTTAGCAAGTCTCTGTAACTTTAAAAAAAAAAAAAAAAAACTCTTAACAAAGTGCCCCCCAACCCTCAAACAAAACAAAAAAAAAAGTCCAACAAAAAGCTTAACGCAGTTTTATTTTCAAACACCTTTCTGCCGCTTCTTGGTGGTTTTTTTTATTTTTTTAACACTTTTAAAAATACTTGACTTGTGAGGTGAAAACTAGAAACGTGTAGCACTTTAACAAAATGACAAAATACCATCCTGCAATCCCTCCACTGTAGTTAATTTCTCTATCTCACAGTTCCTGTTTTCACTTTTGACTTTCAACAGTAATTATGGTCCCTTGCGGTGTGTGTGTCTGTGTGTGTGTGTCTGTGTGTATATATGTGTGTGTTTGTTTCTGTGTGTCTTTGTGTATATGTGTGTGTGTATGCGTGTGTTTTTGTTTGTGTGTGTGTGTGTATATGCGTGTGTGTGTGTTTGTTTGTGTGTGTGTGTGTGTGTGTGTGTTAAATTTAGTGGAGCTCATTATCTAGTGTTGTGTTTTTCTTCTTGTTGCACCACCTGTGGCTCAGGCCCAAATCTTGGATTAATGTCCCGGGGTAAAACCGAGCTGCTGGGAAACCTA